ACCCCCGACATGTACGAACCCAACACCCCCGACGACGACGAGTGGAAGAGGTGGCTCGGGGGGCTCATGAATGACGACGTCGACAATGAAGGTGTTTTGGGGTTTTTGGGGTTTTGGGGTCATTGGGATTTGGGGTTTTTGGAGTTTGATGGGTTCAGGATCCCAAAAAATGTACGAGCCCTGAACCACAATGATGAATGGAAGAGGTGGCTCGGGGGGCTCATGAACGACGACGTCGACAACGAAGGTGTTTTGGGGTTTTGGGGTCAATGGGATTTGAGTTTTGGGGTTTTAGGGTTTAATGGGGTCACTGGGATTTGGGGTTTTTGGGGTTTAATGGGGTCGGGATCACCCATAATGTATGAGCTCAAAAGCACCAATGGTGAATGGAAGAGGTGGCTCGGGGGGCTCATGAACGACGACGTCGACAACGAAGGTATTTTGGGGTCATTGGGGTTTGAGTTTTGGGGTTTTTGGGGTTTAATGGGGTCAGGATCCCCAAAAATGTACAAGCTCAGCATTACCAATGACGAGGGGAAGAGGTGGCTCGGGGGGCTCATGAACGATGATGTGGATAACGAAGGTGTTTTGGGGTTTTGGGGTCAGAATTTGGGGTTTTGGGGTTTAATGGGATCAGGATCCCCAAAAGTGTATAAGGCCAAAACCACCAACGAGTGGAAGAGGTGGCTTGGGGGGCTCATGAACGACGACGTCAACAACAAAGGTGTTTTGGGGTTTGTGGGGTCATTGGATTTGAATTTTGGGGTTTTGGGGCTTAATGGGGTCAGGATCCCCAAAATGTATGAGCTCAACATCACCAATGACGAGTGGAAGAGGTGCTGTGGAGTGGAGATGAACGATGACGTTGACAATGAAGGTACCTGGAGGTGATGGGGTTAATGGGATTTGGGATTTTTGGTGTTTAATGGGGTCATTGGGATCAGGGATTTGGGGTTTCGGGGTTTTGGGGTCACTGGGATTTGGGGTTTGATGGGGTCAGTGCCCCCGACATCACCCCCGACATGTACGAACCCAACACCGCCGACGACGACGAGTGGAAGAGGTGGCTCGGGGGGCTCATGAACGATGACGTGGACAACGAAGGTATTTTGGGGTCACTGGGATTTGGGGTTTTGGGGTTTAATGGGGTCGGGATCACCCATAATGTATGAGCTCAAAAGCACCAATGATGAATGGAAGAGGTGACTGGGGGGGCTCATGAATGACAACATGGACAATGAAGGTGTTTTGGGGTTTGTGGGGTCAGAATAGGGTCATTGGGATTTGAGTTTTGGGGTTTAATGGGTTCAGGATCCCCAAAAATGTGCGGGCCCAAAAACGCCAGTGATGAATGGAAGAGGTGCTGTGGAGTGCATCACGAATGATGATGTGGAGAGCAAAGGTACCTGGAGGTGATGGAGTTTATGGGATTGGGGTTTTGGGGTTTAATGGGGTCATTGGRATCAGGGATTTGGGGTTTTTGGGGTTTAATGAGGTCAGGATCCCCCAAAATGTATGAGGTCAAAAGCACCGATGATGAGTGGAAGAGGTTGTGTGGAGTGGAGATGAACGATGACGTGGACAAGGAAGGTACGTGGAGGTGATGAGATTATTGGGATTTGGGGTTTTGGGGGTTTAATGAGGTCATTGGGATCAGGGATTTGGGGTTTCGGGGTTTTTGGGTCATTGGGATTTGGGATTTGATGGGGTCAGTGCCCCCGACATCACCCCCGACATGTACGAGCCCAACACCCCCGACGACGACAAGTGGAAGAGGTGGCTCGGGGGGCTCATGAACGACGACGTCGACAATGAAGGTGTTTTGGGGTTTTGGGGTCACTGGGATTTGGGGTTTTGGGGTCATTGGGATTTGAGTTTTGGGGTTTTGGGGCTTTAACGGGGTCAGGACATCACCCCCGACATGTACGAGCCCAACACCGCCGACGAGGACGAGTGGAAGAGGTGGCTCGGGGGGCTCATGAACGACGACGTCGACAATGAAGGTGTTTTGGGGTTTTGGGGTCAATGGGATTTGGGGGTTTTATGGGGTCAGGGACCCCAAAAATGTATGAGCTCAACATGACCAATGACGAGTGGAAGAGGTGGCTCGGGGGGCTCATGAACGATGACGTCGACAACGAAGGTGTTTTGGGGTTTGTGGGGTTTTGGAGTCTCTAGGATTTGAGATTTGGGGTTTTGGGGTCATTGGGATTTGGGGTTTGATGGGGTCAGTGCCCCCGACATCACCCCCGACATGTACGAACCCAGCACCGCCGACGATGACAAGTGGAAGAGGTGGCTTGGGGGGCTCATGAATGACGACGTCGACAATGAAGGTGTTTTGGGGTTTGTGGGATCATTGGATTTGAGTTTTGCAGTTTTGGGGTTTAATAGGGTCATTGGGATTTGGGGTTTTGGGGTTTAACGGGATCAGGATCCCCCAAAATGTATGAGCTCAACGTGACCAATGACGAGTGGAAGAGGTGACTCGGGGGGCTCATGAACGACGACGTCGATAATGAAGGTGTTTTGGGGTTTTTGGGGTCAGAATTTGGGGTTTTATGGGGTCAGGATCCCCCAAAATGTATGAGCTCAACATGACCAATGAGGAGTGGAAGAGGTGGCTCAGGGGGCTCATGAACAACGACGTGGACAATGAAGGGGTTTTGGGGTTTTGGGGTCAATGGGATTGGGGGTTTAATGGGGTCAGGATCGCCCAAAATGTCTGAGCTCAAAAGCACCAATGGTGAATGAAAGAGGTGGCTCGGGGGGCTCATGAATGATGACGTCGACAACAAAGGTCTTTTGGGGTTTTTGGGGTCATTGGGATTTGAGTTTTGCATTTTTGGGGTTTAATGGGGTCATTGGGATTTGGGGTTTTTGGGGTTTAATGGCATCAGGATCCCCCAAAATGTCTGAGCTCAAAAGCACCAATGATGAGTGGAAGAGGTGGCTCGGGGGGCTCATGAATGATGACGTGGACAATGAAGGTATTTTGGGGTTTTGGGGGTTTTGGGGTTTGAGTTTTGCAGTTTTGGGGTTTAATGGGGTCACTGGGATTTGGGGTTTTGGGATTTAATGGGGTCAGGATCCCCCAAAACGTATGAGTTTAACATGACCAATGACGAGTGGAAGAGATGGCTCATGAATGACGATGTGGACAATGAAGGTATTTTGTGGTTTTTGGGGTCATTGGGATTTGAGTTTTGCAGTTTTGGGGTTTTGGGGTCATTGGGATTTGGGGTTTTTGGAGTTTGATGGGTTCAGGATCCCCAAAAATGTATGAGCCCTGAGCCGCAATGATGAGTGGAAGAGGTGCTGTGGAGTGGATCATGAATGATGACGTGGACAATGAAGGTACCTGGAGGTGATAGAGTATTGGGATTTGGGATTTTTGGTGTTTAATGGGGTCATTAGGATGAAGGATTTGGGGTTTCGGGGTTTTTGCGTCACTGGGATTTGGGGTTTGATGGTGTCAGTGCCCCCGACATCACCCCCGACATGTACGAACCCAACACCCCCGACGACGACGAGTGGAAGAGGTGGCTTGGGGGGCTCATGAACGACAACGTGGACAACGAAGGTGTTTGGGGGTTTTGGGGGTTTTGGGGTTTGGGATTTGGGGTTTTGGGGTCATTGGGATTTGGGGTTTAATGGGGTCAGGATCCCCCTAAGTGTACAGCCCAGAATTGCAATGGTGAACGGAAGAGGTGGTGTGGAGTGGATCATGAATGATGACGTGGACAATGAAGGTACCTGGAAATGATGGGGTTAATGGGATTGGGGTTTGTGGGGTTTTGAGGTCATTAGGATTTGGGGTTTAATGGGGTCAGGATCCCCAAAAATGTTCGGGCCCAGAACCGCAATAATGAATGGAAGAGGTGGAATGGGTCATGAGCGATGATGTGGACAATGAAGGTGTTGGGGTCAGTGGGGTCAATGGGATTTTTGGGGTTTAATGCGGTCACTGGGGTCATTGGGATTTGAGTTTTGGGGTTTTGGGGTTTAATGGGATCAGGATCTCCCAAAATTAATGAGCTCAAAAGCACCAATGATGAGTGGAAGAGGTGGAGCAAAGTGGAGATGAACGATGACGTGGACAATGTGGGTACCTGGAGCTGATGGGGTTAACGAGATTTGGGGTTTTAGGGTTTAATGAGTCAGTGGGATCAAGGATTTGGGGTTTCAGGGTTTTGGGGTCATTGGGATCTGGGGTTTAATGGGGTCAGGCCCTCAACGTTTATGACCCCAACACCGTTGATGATAAGTGGATCATGAACGATGACGTGGACAACAAAGGTACCTGAAGGTGATGGGGTTAACGGGATTTGGGATTTTGGGGTTTAATTGAGTCGTTGGGATTTGAGTTTTGGGGGTTTGGGGTTTAATGGGGCCAGGTTCCCCAAAAATGTACAACCACAAAACCCCAATGGTGAGTGGAAGAGGTGCTGTGGAGTGGATCACGAACGATGATGTGGAGAGCAGAGGTACCTGGAGGTGATGGAGTTAATGGGATTTGGGATTTTGGAGTTTTATGAGGTCATCGGGATCAGGGATTTGGGATTTCGGGGTTTTGGGTCATTGGGATTTGGGGTTTGATGGGGTCAGGACTCCCAATGTTTATGACCCCAACACCGATGATGATGAGTGGATCATGGACGATGACGTGGACAACGAAGGTACCTGAAGGTGAATGGATTATTGGGATTTGGGATTTTTGGGGTTTTGGGGTCATTGAGATCAAGGATTTGGGGTTTTGGGATCATTGGGATTTGGGGTTTTTGGAGTTTAACGGAGTCAGACCCCAAAATGTCCGATCCCAACATCACCAATGATGAGTGGAAGAGATGCTGTGCAGTGTGAAATAAGAACGGCTTTGATATCAATTTTATCCATTAATTTATGGCAGAAATTCCAATAATTTGTTTTTTTTTCAGTTGAAACGCCGAGATTTCATTAATTTTAATTAATTACAGCCCCAAAATTAATTATTTTTTTAGATGAAGATGAGGATGACCCTGAGTACAATTTCCTGGAGGATTTGGACGAACCGGACACGGAGGATTTCAGGAACGACCGAGCTGTCAGAATCACCAGTGAGTCCCCAGGAATTCTCATTAATATTTTAATTAATAATTAATAATAATTAGTATTAATATTAGTGTTAAATTATGCAATTAAATTTTTCAATGTTCTCACAATTTTTACAAAAATATTTAATTCCATCTTCGCCGCAAGCCACACACACTTGAGGTCATTAAATTTAAATTATTCAATTAAATGTAATTAAATTAACAAAATCAATTGAATTTAATTAGTTTTAATTAAATTAATTAAATTGATTTTATCATTGAATTTGTTTAAATTTTTAAGTTCATTTACTTTAAATAAGTTGAAACAATTTGGAATTTAATCGTGAAAATGAGTTTTTTGTTATTGGGGGTTTATTGGGATTTATTGGGATTTATTCGGAATTATTGGGATTTATGGGGATTAATTGGGATTAATTAGGATTTACTGGAATTTATTTGGATTAATTTGGTTTTAATTTGGATTAATTAGGATTTTTTGAAGTTTATTGGGATTTATAAGGAATTTATTGGGATTTATAAGGAATTTATTTGGGTTAATTAAAATTGAATGGAATTTATTGGGATTTATGGGACCCCATTTTCCAATCTGAACCATCTCAGCTCCATTTTTTTCGGGCCCAATTTTTGAAATTTTGAATTTTGTTTCTTTTTATTTCATTTCATTTTATTTAATTTTATTTCTTTTTATTTCTTTTTATTTTATTTTAATTTTATGCAGAGAAGGAGGTGAATGAGCTGATGGAGGAGCTCTTCGAGACGGTGAGGGACAAACTGGGATTGTTTTGGGATTTCCTTTGGGACTTCCTTTGGGATTCATTTTGGGATTTATTTTGGGATTTCTTTTGAAATTTTCTTTTGGGAATTCCGTTTGGGATTTCCTTTTGGGATTTCTTTCGGAATTTCTTTTGGGAGTTTCTTTGGGATTTGCTTTATTGATTCCTTGTGGGATCCTTTTTGGGGTTCCTTTGGGATTTCCTTTGGGATTTCTTTTGGGATTCCTTTTGGAATTTTTTTGGGATTTCCTTTGGGATTTCATTTTAAGGGATTTCTTTTGGGATTTCCTTCAGGGATTTCCTTTTGGGGTTTATTTAGGGATTTATTTCAGGATTCCCTTCAGGGATTCCTTTTGGGATTTTTTTTGGGATTCCTGTACGATTTCTGTTTCCCCAGTTCCAGGACGAGATGGGTTTTTCCAACATGGAGGACGAGGGTCCCGAGGACGACGACGCCGCAGGGGAACCTCGGCCCAACTTCAACACCCCCCAGGCCCTCAGGTGGGACAGGAAATCCTCGGGAATGGGCTGGGAATGTTCTGGAAACTCGGAGAGATTTCTTAGAATGTTCTGGAAGCTCTCAGTGATTTCTGAGAATATTCTGGAAACTCTGGGAATGTTCAGGGAATGTTCTTGAAGCTCTGGGAATGGTCTGGGAATATTCTGAGAATGTTCTGGGAATGTTCTGAGAAGGTTCTGGAAGCTCTGGGAATGGTCTGGGAATGTTCTGGAAGCTCTTAGTGATCTCTTGAGAACATTCTGGAAGTTCTGGGAATGTTCTGGAAGCTCTGAGAATGTTCTGGAAGCTCTGGGAACATTCTGGAAGCTCTCAGTGATCTCTGAGAATGTTCTGGAAGCTCTGGGAATGGTCTGGGAACTGGGAATGCTCTGGGAATGCTCTGGGAATGGTCTGGGAACTCTGGGAATGGGCTGGGAATGGGCTGGAAGCTTTGGGAACATTCTGGAAATGGTCTGGGAACGTTCTGGAAGCTCCGAGTGATTTCTTAGAACGTTCTGGAAGCTCTCAGTGATGTTTGGGAATGTTCTGGAAGCTCTCTGTGATTTCTGAGAACATTCGGGAAGCTCTGGGAATGTTCTGGGAATGTTCTGGAAGCTCCAAGAATGTTCTAGAAGCTCTTAGAGATTTCTCAGAATGTTCTGGAAACTCTGGGAATGTTCTGGGAATGTTCTGGAAGCTCTGGGAATGTTCTGGGAATGTTCTGGAAGCTCTGGGAATGGTCTGGGAATGTTCTGGAAACTCTGGGAATGGTCTGGGAATGGTCTGGAAGCTCTGAAAGATTTCTGAGAATGTTCTGGGAATGGTCTGAGAATGTTCTGGAATCTCTCAGTGATTTCTTAGAACATTCTGGAAGCTCTCTGATTTTTGGGAACGTTCTGGAAGCTCTGAGAATGCTCTGGGAATGTTCTGGAAGCTCTGGGAACATTCTGGAAGCTCTCAGCGATCTCTGAGAAGGTTCTGGAAGCTCTGGGAATGGTCCGGGAACTGGGAATGGTCTGGGAATGCTCTGGAAACTCTGGGAATGCTCTGGAAACTCGGAGAGATTTCTTAGAACATTCTGGAAGCTCTGAGAGATTCCTGAGAATGTTCTGGAAGCTCTCGGTGATTTCTGGGAATGTTCTGGAAACTCTGAGAATGTTCCGTGGGGTCACTCTGGGGTCACTGTGGGATCTCCATTTTTTGGGGTTTCCATTTTTTGGGATCTCCATTTTTTGGGATTTTCAGTTTTTGGGATTTCCCGTTTTTAGGGTTTCCCGTTTTCAGGATCTCCATTTTCGGGGTCTCCTGTTTTCGGGGTTTCCTGTTTTTGGGATTTCCCGTTTTTGGGGTTTCCCATTTTTTAGGATCTCCATTTTTGGGGTCTCCTGTTTTCGGGGCAGAGCAGCTTGAGCCGGGGCTGTCCCTGTTTGGGAAAGGAGCGAAAGCAAAGGCTGGGTGCTCGTGGGGTTATTAATAATTAATAAATGGAATTAATAATTATTTAAATGTAATAAATTCAATTAATTACATTAAATGTGCTCTCCCYGGGCTGAGCGGTGCCAGAGGGGAGCGCAGGGCACCCAGCTACAAAAACCCTTGGATAATGGGATAAATTTCATTAATTAATGTAATTAATAAAAATATTGATATTTGAATAATAAATTAGAAATTAAATTGAAGAAATTTGATTATAAATAATGTAATAATGTAATAATGTAATAGTGATATTGTAATAACTTAGTCATACTTATAGTAAATTATTGATGACCTACTAACAAATTATTAATAATTTAATAATTTATGACTTGTCAATTGATAATTTATTAAAATTTTACCAATAATGTAATAATCTAATAATGTGTTAATACATATAGTAAGTTATTGATGATGTACTAATAACTCACTGATAATTTAATAAATTATTAATGTTATTGGTATTTTATTAATATTTCATTAATATTTATTAGTATTTTATTAAGGTGTTATTATTTAATAATTTCTTAATAATTTATCACTAATGTAATCGTTTATTAATGTGGCAATATTTATAATAAGTTATTGATGATTTAGTGTGTTAATATTTCTAATAAATTTTTGACGATTTACTGGTAACTTATCAATAATTAATGATTCATTAATAATTAGTAATTAGTAATTAATAATTAATAATTAATAATTAGTAATTAATTTCTAGATTTGAGGAGCCCCTGGCCAATTTGCTGACGGAGCAGCACCGCACGGTGAAGGAGCAGCTGGAGCAGCTGAGGATGAGGAAATGCAGCCTGAAAACGGCCCCGGAGAGCGAGAAACCCAAAAACCCCAAAGAGAAACCCCCGGAGAGCCTCGGGCTGAGCGCGGGACAGAGACAGCGGCTGCGGCAGCAGATGGGACAGGTCAGGGGACTGGGGGGACTGGGGGAGACTGGGAATGGGACTGGGTTATACTGGGAGGGACTGGGTTATACTGGGAGGGACTGGGAGAGACGGGGGGGGACTGGGAGGGACTGGGAGAGACGGGGGGATACTAGGAGGGACTGGGGGAGACTGGGTTATACTGGGAGGGACTGGGAATGCGATTGGGAGAGACTGGGAACGGACTGGGAGGGACTGGGTTATACTGGGAGGGACTGGGTTATACTGGGATGGAACTGGGATGGGCTGGGATGGACTGGGAATGGATGGGATGGACTGGGATGGGATTGGGATGGACTGGGAGGGACTGGGAATGGGATTGGGGTTATACTGGGAATGGGATTGGGTTATACTGGGAGGGATTGGGAGAGACTGGGGGGGACTGGGAGAGACTGGGAGGGACTGGGAGGGACTGGGGGGGACTGGGAATGGACTGGGTTATACTGGGAGGGACTGGGAATGGGATTGCATTATACTGGGAATGGGATTGGGTTATACTGGGACGGACTGGGTTATACTGGGGGGGGACTGGGAACGGGCTGGGAAGGACTGGGAATGGATGGAATGGACTGGGATGGACTGGGAGAGACTTGAGTTATACTGGGAATGGACTGGGATGGACTGGGAGGGACTGGGTTATACTGGGAGGGACTGGGAGGTACTGGGAATGGGATTGGGAATGGGCTGGGAGGGACTGGGTTATACTGGGAGGGACTGGGAATGGACTGAGATGGACTGGGATGGATTGGGATGGACTGGGATGGACTGGGATGGATTGGGAGAGACTGGGAGGGACTGGGTTATACTGGGGGGGACTGGGAATGGGATTGGAAATGGGATTGAGGATGGACTGGGATGGACTGGGAGAGACGGAATGGGCTGGGAATGACTGGGATGGACTGGGATGGGATTGGGAGGGACTGGGTTATACTGGGAGAGGCTGGGAGGGACTGGGAGAGACTGGGAATGGGATTCGGATGGAGTGGGTTATACTGGGAGGGACTGGGAATGGGATTGGGAGGGACTGGGTTACACTGGGAGGGACTGAAAATGGGACTGGGAATGTGATTTGGAATGGACTGGGAGAGACTGGGAACGGACTGGGAGGGACTGGGTTATACTGGGAGGGACTGGGAATGGGATTGAGAGGGACTGGGATGGGATTGGGATGGACTGGGAGAGACTGGGAGGGACTGGGATGGACTGGGAGAGACTGGGATGGACTGGGAATGGGATTGTGAGAAACTGGGATGGACTGGGAATGGGATTAGGATGGACTGGGATGGGACTGGGATGGACTGGGAATGGATGGGATGGACTGGGATGGGATTGGGATGGGCTGGGAGGGACTGGGATGGACTGGGATGGGAATGGGATTTTTTATGTCTTTTTTTGCTTTTTTCTGCTTTTTGTGCGTTTTTCTCCTTTTTCTTGCTTTTTCCTGCTTTTTTCTGCTTCTTTCTAGGTTTTTTTTCAGTTTTTTTTCTGTTTTTTTCTGATTTTTATCAATTTTCTCTCTTTTTCCCCCAGCACGTGCAGCTGCTGACCCAGATCCATCTCTTGGCCTCGTTCAACCCCTCCCTGAGCTCCGAGGCCGCCACCACCCGAATGTTTYTGGTGAGAAAAATTACAAAAATTCACATTAGTGCTGGGATTGAAGGCTCAAAATGATTTTTAGGCCCAAGTGGAAACTTTTGAAGGCCCAAAATGCAGATTTGAAGGCTAAAAATGAAGATTTGAAGGCCCAGAATGATTTTTAGGCCCAAATGAAGATTTTGAGGCCCAAAATGAATATTTTAATGCCCAAAATGATTTATAGGCTCAAATGAAGGTTTGTAGGACCAAATTGCAGATTTTAATGCCCAAAATGAATATTTTAAGACCTTAAATGCAGATTTTTAGGCCCAAATTGATGCTTTGAAGGCCCAAAATGATTTTGAGGCCCAAAATGAAGATTTGAAGACCCAAAATACAGATTTTAATGCCTAAAATGTAGAATTGAAGTCCCAAAATGCAGATTTGAAGGCCCAAAATGAGGATTTGAAGGCCTAGAATGATTTTATTGCCCAAAATAAAGATTTTAATGCCCAAAATGAAGATTTGAAGTCCCAAAGTGATTTTTAGGCCCAAATTGAAGATTTGTAGGCCAAAAATGAAGATTTTAATGCCCAAATGCAGATTTTAATGCCTAAAATGCAGAATTGAAGGCCCAAAATGAAGATTTGAAGGCCCAAAATTATTTTTAAACACAAACATTTGAAGGCCAAAAATGAAGATTTGAAGGCCAAAAATGATGATTTTAATGCCCTGAACGATTTTTAGGCCCAAAATGAAGATTTGAAGGCCCAGAATGCAAATTTTAATGCCCCAAATCAAGATTTTAATGCCAAAAATGAAGATTTTGAGACTGAAATGGAAGATTTGAAGGCGCAAAATTATTTTAATGCCCAAAATTCAGATTTGAAGGCCCAGAATGATTTTTAGGCCAAATGAAGATTTGTGGGCCCAAAGTGAACATTTTAATGTCTAAAATGTTGATTTTTAATGCCCAGAATGCAGATTTGAAGGCCCAAAATGAAAATTTTAATGCCCAAAATGAAGATTTGAATGCCCAAAATGAACATTTGAAGACCCAGAACGATTTTTAGGCCCAAAATGACAATAGGAAAGCCCAAAATGTTCATTTTAATGCTCAAAATGAATATTTTTATGCCCAAAATGAAGAGTTGAAGGCCTAGAATGAAGATTTGAAGACCCAGAACAATTTGTAGGCCCACAATGAAGATTTGAAGGCCCAAAATGAAGATTTTGAGGCCTAAAATACAGATTTGAAGGCCCAAAATCAGGATTTTAACACGTAAAATTCAGACTTTCTAATGTTTTTTTTTCCAGAATGAACTGGGCAGCTTTGCCCGCAGTTCCACKCTGCTGAGGGCCCCCCTGAACCCCAAATTCCAGAGTCTGTTCCAACCSCCCAACCTGAGCGGGGCCCTGCAGCTCCTGGAGGAATTCCACAGCCACGTCCCCCTGGAGAGCAGCCCCCGGAAAGGGGGAAAGAAAAACGGT